GGGGAAGGGTGGCTGGGGAGGGTTGTGGCATGTGTGGAGGGGGAGGGTTTGCCCACAGCCTCCCCTGTGTCAAGCAGAGACCCCCCTCCAGTGCTCCTCCAAGCCCAGCCTCTGTGCTCCTGACCCCAGGGCACCAGTGCAGCCCCATGCTCCCGTTCACTGCCACTTCCCCCTTCATCTGCCACTGTTGCACTTCTGCTGCTTCCCTACCCCCCCTACCATTTGCTGTTTTGGCACCACGTCCCAGCTGCATGGCTGAGACTGCAGAATGCAGCAGGAGCTGGACTGGCCCAGCCAGCACCCCACAAAGCCAGCCGAGAATCACAGGGGTCAGGCTGGCTCCTGCTGTGTTCTGCAGCCTGGAGCTGCAGCTGGGAACTACGTGGTGCCAGAGCGGTAGGTGATTTCCTGACTGCGGCTGCCATTGCTCCTTCCCACCCCCCTGCTGGCCACTCCAGCACCATGTGGTTGCCAGCTGCAGCACTGGGATCATGCTGGGATCTCTGCAGCTGGCTCGGCCCAACCCTGAGGACTTGGGAGATCCCCCACAGTCCTCCCCTGCCTCACCCCACCTTCTTATCTGAATTTCCTGCGGGCCAGATAGAATGGCGTGGTGGGCCAGATTCAGCCCATTGGCTATATTTTGCTCACCCTGACCTAAAGATGTACTGTAAATTAGTAGCAGAAAGAAAATTAGACTTTAGTGCTTTACAACTGTCAACGCAGGAGCCGCGTCTCCATTTCACCCTACTTATCATACATTACTGTTGGTATGATATGAATCATAAATAACAAAAACAATTTTAAAAAATGTACAATTTAATCCAAACTTAGATTCTAAGACTCATTCAAATGCTAAGTAAATTTGAATGTTGGACATCCCTTCCTTAAAACCCCCTCTTCAACTACAGATTGAAATTTACTGAGGTTAATTAGTGCAACTATTCTGTTTCCAGATGTTATGTATAACATATACAATTTTTGCCAACAGAAAACTTTATACGTGATCATGAAATGTCTTGGACTTTTTGCCAAATTCATTTACGAGCAATTTTTTCCCTTTTTGAATTACTTTTTGAAGGACGTTTGCTTAGGTTTAGCTCCCAATCTCAATACATGTGAGATATAAACACACACAAAGCCATGCACTCAGCCCCCTGCAAATCTCCATTTAGTTTTGCCTCATCAGCTCCTCCTAGCTCTCCTGGTTGATGCAGGTTCACTGAGATTCGTTCATCATCTTCCCCTTAATGTCCAAATTCAAGGAGGTGTGTTTAAGACTGTAGAAGGGAGAAGGTGAGTTAATGCTGGTAGGATTGGCCTTAACTTACTTGCAAACATACCACAGGAAACCCAGTGTCACAAAACAATCTGGTCTTTGCTCCCTGTGCAGCCTTCAGCAGAGCTACTGTTGGGTCAAGGCTGACCCAATAGGGAGAAGGATATTATACAAAAGTGTAGTTCCCCCCTCCCTCCATCTTGAGTCATGAGCTTCCATCCCCTCCTCCATTCCCCACAGAGGTGAGGGAATGACTGGGTCCTGCTATCCACAAATGAAAATGTTTTCTAGTTTTTGTCAATTTTTACATCTCAAATATAACATTTAAAAACTAGGACCAAATATTAATTAATAAATTATGCATATAAAACTATTAGCACCTGAAAGAACAGAGAGACATAGAACTGAAAAAAAT